CCTCCCTCCCAGGCTTGCCGTGTGAATCAGCTGTTTTGCGGCAAGCCTGGGAGGGAGGGGGAGAAGCGGAGCGGCGGCGCGCTCAGGGGAGCAGGCGGAGCGGAGGTGAGCTGCGGGGGTGGGGAGCGCGGGGAGGGCCGCAGGAAGTAAACAGGGGGGCAGAGGAACCGCCCCCCCCCAGCTCACCTCCTCCCCCGAGCGTGCAGCTGCTCCGCTTCTCCCCACTCCCTCCCAGGCTTCCCTGGAGGGGTAGGAGGGGAAATGCGGCATGCCCGGGGAAGGAGGCAGGGCCGGGGATTTGGGGAAGGGGTTGGAATGGGGTGGAGCTGGGGGGACATTTTTTTTGCTTGGGATGGCAAAAAACTTGGAGCTGGCCCTGTCAGAGAGCCCTCACCTGGGACAGGTGTGGTCAGGTGATGGAGTCACTTTACCACAGCAGTCAGTGGCCATTCGTACCATGCTGGCTTGTTTTCCTTAAGATGTCCCATTCCACAGTAGTGTCTGAATGCCCCAACTGAGATGGGGACCCCCTTGTGCTGGGCGTTGGATACACCAATAGTGAGGGACCGTCCCTGCTCTCCGGAGTGTATTACAATCTAAATTAGACCAGAGAGCTCCACGGGTGCAGCCATGGTGTGAGTGTGGTATGAACCGGCTGCTGGCACAGTGACATCTGACCCTGCTCAGAGCCAGGACAGACGAGGACTGTGGGGGAAATCCCGTCCCTTCTGGTTTATGTTGGGTAGCAGTGAGGCTTGTTACCTCCTCCCCACAGTACTGTCCTGTCACTGCATCACACACACTCGCCATCTGGTTTGTTATTTCTCCTGTTCCCCAGACCAAGCTACGATGATGGGGAAATTCCCCTCGTTCTCCACCGGCTCCACAGTGAGCTCCGCTCTGCCCGGCTACGTTGCTCTCTGCCTCACTCTACAGGTTCACAGGCTGGAGTCAGGTAGGAGCTCCAGCTTCCTTGCTGGGTTTGCTGCTGTTACTATTACTGGTCATCACCGTCCATCTCACATCACTGCCTTGTCTTGTAAACCACGTCTGCTCAACCTGCCAACAACCAGTCACAGGGCACTGCTGGGTCCCCAGTAGCCATGTTTGGTACCTATATGCAATCTTGTCAGGCCTAGCTACACACATGCTGCTGCTGTGACTGGAGGCTTCTAAGAGAAAGAACATGGTGAGCGTCATTACAGGGCTCACAAACTATTTAAAGGGACACTACCCAATTCCTATAGACTGCACTGCCAGACCGACTGTAAGTCATAGATCAGACTCTTCAGCCACAAACAGATCACGAATCCCCGGCTCTGGTTATGAAATGAAAACCCACAAGTCATTCATACTGCACTAGGCACATCTGACTAGGGCTGAGCGCGAGACCTCCTCTCACAATGAGGATGGGAGGATATTTGCTGGCTTCTTCATTCTGTACCCTTGGTGAAGGCCTTATCATGTCCCACTCCACCCCCGGGGGCTGCCTGCACAGCTACTTGGGCATTTTGGTTCCCTCCTGCTGTGGTTTCTGTAACGATCTTGGGGCTCATTAAACAACAACTCAGTGAATGGGAAAGGAATAAAACTTTTAATAAAACAAAGTATTTATTATTTATTATTTATTAACATGTGTTAAGATCTTTGATTGGTTTATGGTAAGTTTGCTCTGTCAGGCTTTTGTCTTTAAATGGTCTCTCACTTCTAACACAGGGCGCTCTCTTACTGTGTGTCTTACTGCTGAATTAATGCCGCTTCCAGCCCCTTGCCGATTTAATTTCCTTTTTTTCATTGTACATTTCACAGCACAGTTCACAGTGACTGGACCTGACCACCCAGTCACTGCCTCCGTTGGGGGCGAGGCCATCCTGCCCTGCCACCTCTCCCCTAGGATGAGCGCTGAGAACATGGAGGTGAGATGGTTCCGATCCCAGTTCTCTCCAGCTGTGCACCTGTACCGTGATGGGCAGGATCAGTACGGAGAGCAGATGCCAGAATATCGAGAAAGAACTGAGCTCTTGAAAGACAACATCACCAATGGGAGAGTTTCCCTGAGAATACGCGATATCCGACCCTCTGATGATGGGCCATATGTGTGTTTTTTTCAGTCCGGTGTCTCTTATGAAGATGCTATTTTGGAACTGCAGGTGGCAGGTCAGTAACTTCTGATGATGATTTAATGTCTTCAATGGGGTAATAAGTGGAGTCACAGGGTTAATTGTGAGATGACACAATTTTTCTCATTATAGTGGGGCAGTAACTGTGCTCTCGATAAGGTTGATTCTAGTTTGCTGTTTAATATCCATTTTTTTCTAAGTTCTCTAAAATTCACACACATACTCAGATTGTTTTGAAAATTGCTGCAACTCATTGGAGTCTGGGGTTGGGTTAGTGGCCCAAATGTGAGGTCTTTAGAACAAGGAATTAATGAGACACACAAATACCCCTAAACAGTCAGGTGGCATTAACATGTTGTGGTTATTACAACTATTTTGTGCATGCCTGGGGCTGAACAATGACTCTGATCCTCCCCAAACTGATGCCACCAGCTGGGATTGATCTTGGCTCGTGTCTGGCCCCTTCAGGGTAACAGTGCTTGATACACAGGGACCTGTAGCCCAGAGCCTGGTCTAAGAGTGGGAGAATTGAGGAATTCCCCACCCCCAACGCACGTAAAGAAAGGGGGCCTGACCCCTGAAGGTGCTGTCAGAGAGACCAGCAAGGGGACAGAGGTGCAGCTAGTTCTGTAACCATGACATGAGGTTTAAGTCATAGAATCATAGAATATCAGGGTTGGAAGGGACCTCAGGAGGTCATCTAGTCCAACCCCCTGCTCAAAGCAGGACCAATCCCCAACTAAATCATCCCAGCAGGACTTTGTCAAGCCGGGCCTTAAAAACCTCTAAGGAAGGAGATTCCACCACCTCCCTAGGTAACCCATTCCAGTGCTTCACCACCCTCCTAGTGAAACAGGGTTTCCTAATATCCAACCTAGACCTCCCCCACTGCAACTTGAGACCATTATTCCTTGTTCTGTCATCTGCCACCACTGAGAACAGCCGAGCTCCATCCTCTTTGGAACCCCCCTTCAGATAGTTGAAAGCAGCTATCAAATCAGGTGTAGCGAACTCCTGGTCTCCATTCAAACACTGAGCCTGCTGCACACAAACCACCCCTGACTTGCAAAATATTATCGCCTCGTCACCCTTGCCCTGAGGATTCCTTCTGGGATGTTGCCTTCACTTACCCCTCACCAAGCCCTGGAGATCACTGGCATATCTGACACCAGACTGCTGACAATCCCCATGGCAAGGAGTCTGTACCCTTGTACTGACACAACCAACACAACTCAGCACTGAAATGAGGCATGATCGATCCCTCCAGGTACACCTGCACCTCTCCGCATATCACAGTGACAGCTCTGCCAATAGGCTCCAAATAATCCCCCCCACTGGTCATTACAGCTACACCAAGCACAGTGCATGAAGCTTTAGTGCATGCAGCCAATTCCCAGTGGTTATTGCCAGCTCCAAAGGGGCAGAGTTAAGGTTGTTTGGGTGTTTACTTTCACTATGGATTTCCTGGTTTTAGAGGTCTGAGTTTTGCTGAAAAAAGCATTCTGGAAGGGCAGGAGATAATACAGAGTTAAGGTTGCCTGGAGGTAACTAAGTCTTTGGTCAGTGAATAGACATGAGGAAGGATTACAGGAAGGGGGCATTGTTTGTGTCGTGTTCCACAGATTTGAATTGCAGCATGTATCTGCCTCCACAGCAGCTGCATTCCCTGTGGTCAGTGTAGCTGTACTGACCAGTGGAGAGAGTAGTGGGGACAGGGTCTCAGAGCTGTCACGGTGCTGTGGAAGGGCAGGAGATAATATCACCAGGCAGCCTGAACTCTGTGCTAACCAAGGTTTTGTCAGTGAATTTTCTAGTTGTCTTTTTTTAACAGAAAGGGAAACGTTTGTTGTAGGAGCTAGTGGCCATTTGATTGTAGTTTTCACCGAGGTTTGCAGTTGCTACACGACTGTTCCTAGGTAATAACCAAAAGTTGAGTATAGTGCTTTTCCATTAGTAGACCTGAAAGAGCTTCACATCATTATCCCCATTTTACAGATGGGAAACTGAGGCACGGATAAGAGAAGTGAGTTGCCGAAGGTCACCCAGCAGCTCAGTGGCAGAGCAAGGAATTATCCCAGTCCTGGGAACTCTTTGTTAGGCCACTCATTTGCTCCATGGTTGCTCACTGCCCTTCCCCCCTGTATGTTCTGTGATAGTGCAGTGGGGATAACGGTCGTGCTGTGCAATGTCTGCAGTGTGTAGCTGGTAACAGGGCTGGTGAGAGAAATCTCATTCCAGGTCTCTGTCCCAAAACCTTGACAGTTTTATTACACAGCGGCTACTTTAAGCCTGTGAGAGGAGACTCGTGTGTCTATCTCCTTCTCCACCATCCCCCACAACATGTAGCTCCCCTCTGCCCTGCGTTTTTGGGAGCCCACATCACAGGCAGCAGCTGACTGATTGGCCACACAGTACCTCGGTTACGTAGTCTGAGCTGCACACTGAGCTGGGGTCCTCACCCCAACTACCAGGCCTAGCTGGGCCCCCCACCCCTGGTCCAGCCAGACTTCCCCAGGACCCCAGCCATGTGCAGGCTCTCCCAATCCAACTCTCCCTCCCCCACACACTCTTCCAACCCCACACAGGGGTGATGTGTATTTTAACTATTCATTTCCTGCATTTAAGATGTTTACATTTTCATCACATTCAGCCCCCACCCCACTCCCCCTTGGTCACAGATCATACGAGGGGGTTAGACATCCCAAGAGTGGCAGGGGATCCCAGATCCCAGGACATACAGTGGGAAGAAAAAGGAATTCAAATCCTGCAAAAGGGTAGGGCTCCCCCAGATCCCAGAATGGGAAAAGGGAGAATTTGGGGCTGATAGGAGTCCCTGCCCCTAAACCCACAACTTTTACTGCCAACACTTACCATATCAAATCCCTCCCACTGCACTCCTTCCCCTTACCTGAGGAGGCCCCAACCCTTTTTTCCTCCCCTCCCCCAATTCCCATTTATCCCCCTCCCTATAATACCCACATGCCTTGCTGTAGACCAGGGGTTGGCAACGTTCGGCACGCGGCTCTCCAGGGTAAGCACCCTGGTG